AGATAGATAGATAGATAGATAGATAGATAGATAGATAGATAGATAGATAGATAGATAGATAGATAGATAGATAGGGGGCTGTGTGTTTTAAACCCCGAGCTACCTCAGTGCTGCATAAAGTGAGCTGGAGAGAAGGGTGTCCAAAGAAGTAGAAGTGCAGAAGGGAAGGAACACAAGTCGTCCTTGGTGTAATCTTCCCTACCCTACTCTTCTTTCATTCTCATTCACTTGTACGGCAGAATAGAATTGTACCTAAGTAGGGGAACTACTTTGGAGATGAATGCAATGGGCCTCTGTGGGTGGGTGTTTTCTTTTGTTTTGCTGTTGGTTCAGTAATTGGATCTTTCCCCCTCCTTCAAAGTTAGAACCAAGCTTGATTTATGCAGTGGGCCTGCCACAATCTCATCTCATTTGGCTTTAAAAAAGAGAAGAACCTGCACAGTACTGAAGTACATATATTCCCAAATGCCTGTTTTGCAGAGACAAATCATGTTCCTTGGCACTCTGCTCAGCTAAATCATTGTCTGTTGTTTTTTCACATGAGGGGTTACTATTGTTCCAACTCTTCATTAACCACGCATGTGTCTCCAGAAAAGAAATCTATCCAGGGTGGAGGGGGAGGCTTTTCAGTTAGCAATAACAGACTGTCCTAATACAATGAGTGATAACAATACACCCTTCTTAGGAGACTGTTAAACTGTTGACTAATGGGTTTGTGGGGAAGCACTATTCAAACATGGAGTTACCGGCCGTCCCTCCACATCTTGCAAGATGGGTAGACTGGCCAGAGGCAAAGAAGGTCATGATCCTGTGTTTTTAAATTGCTGTTGTAAAAGTAGTTTTAAAATAATAGGTGCAGCTGCAAATGGTCAAACAGGAGGATACAACCTGCAGTTACAATATACAGTGAGTGCATAAGTCTTGGGGAGGAAGTGGAAATAACAGGTGAAATAAAAAATCTCCGTATCTCATACTTCCTGCTTAATGCTAATGCAGTGGATAAGAAGAATATGCAACCTATTCCTGCTGCATCCATTTATAAGTCTTTGTTTAAAGCATTTTAATTCTATTTTTCAGATTAAAAATGTATCTCCAATGGCTTACAGGGCAGTGTTTTGAAAAAGTGGACTCTGTCTTCAGCGTTACTGTTTAAATCTGGGGAAAAGGGAATGAGGGTGGTGAAGTGGGAAAAAGAGACCAGGTGTGGATTCTTCCCTGCAAATATCCCTCAAGTCTTTTTAAAGTACCTTCAACCTGAGCAGCTACGTTCTAAAAACTGGAAGAAGCCTTGGGCAGAGAAAATAATGATGGGATGGGGTGGGGTGGGGAGGGGAGGCATTATAAGGAAAAGTAAGCAAAAATGGGGGAAGGATTAAGCACGTGCCTATCTTGTCCTGTCCCCGCTTTCTTTTATCAGGTTTGGGAACATGGCATTGACTGATACTGTTAGTCCTGCTTTTCTCTATCTTTGCATCTGATTACCCTAAATATTTTATTTTATGAGCTGCAAACTTCTTTTTCTTAAAAGTTGTATTGGATCTGCCTAATCTGATGCTCTCTTAATTTGCTGGATTAGAACTCCCACAACCCAGCCCCTGTGACCATTGGAGTGTAGTCCAGCACATCTGGAGAGTACGAGGTTTGGAAAAGCTGCTGTAATGCATTATGTGTTACTTATCGTTCGCACAATGTGTGGTGAGCAATGCTGACTTTTCCCCCTTCCTTTACAGTATTCGGAGGCCAAAAAGCAGTGCTGGTACTTTGAAGGATTGTATCCTACATACTATCTGTAAGTTATTATCTTTTTCTCATATTATGCAGGTGTGAGTGTGTATATGCTGGGAGACAGATTCAAGTTCTCTTTGTACTACCAGTTATTCTAAATTATAGCAAATAGAATGGAAGGAAGTTGGACTAGACTTACAGTTTAATAAGTGCAAGCTTGTGTCCATTGCTAGAAGCAGAGGTAATCTTGAACAGCTCTCTTTTCTCTGTCTCCAAGTGGTCATACACAGAGCCAAAATGGTTTCTGAACAGAAACAGGCATGCCCCCTAGTCCCAATCATGTTAGATAAAATATGTACCCACAGATTACCCTTCTGCGTCTTTAGTTAATAAGATCCCAAATGCTTAGACTCATTTCACACTTACCAGAGAGCTTAGCTGGGTTTGCAGCCAAGGCTTTGCACTTGACAAGGAGCTATGCCACATCATCTTGCAATCTGATGCACAGCTTGGTAAACATGTTTCTTTCACAGGTCTTAGATGTACATGTTCTAAAAAACGTTTGGGCATAAAGTGGCCTTTAGCATCAAGTTGTCATGTGAATGGTTACAAAAATCCCATGGCAACAGAACCAACTTTATTGTCTCCAACAATTTTTTAAAAATTAAATTGTAATTTTCCTTGTACATTTTATTATTATTATTATTTATTTAATTTATATGCCGCCCACTCTACCCAAAGGTCAGAAAGAGAAGTGTTAAAATAATAATTAAATAAATAGGAACTTTTAATCTCAACAATTACTCTTGGATAATTTTTTCCATTTCTTTTTTCTTTTTTATCTTGAGTCTTTCTAGTTATGTCCTCCTAATATCATGCAGCTTGCTTTCTTTTTCATTTGTTTATTCCTCTATGACAGGGATCTCCAGACTTTTCTCCGTGAGGGCCATATAATATATTTTCCACATTTTTGAGGGGCAAAGGAACACACATGTGTACACACACATACACGCCCACACACATGCATGCATGGGTCAGATAAAAAGGTAAGGCGGGCCGGATGTGGCTCACGGGCTGTACTTTGGAGACCTCTGATTTAGGTTCCGAGATATTTTGTATTATAACAGTTTCTCCAAGGAATCATTGCTTAAATTAATGTCCTTAAGCCAGGGAATGATCCAAAATAGAGGAATGTACAGAAAGCAGACCTACACTGAACATAAATATATTAAAAGACCTTATTCAAGCATGGAGGGAATGTGGTTGTATGTGCCTCCAGGTTCTCCATGGGAAGCGGGGGGGGGAATGACTCCAAAAACGTGTATCAGTATCTAGACATGAACGTTTGGTTCCTTTTGCAGTTGATTTGTTTTGCTTTGTTTTTGTTCTAGTAACAGTTTTTCTGGCAAAAATAAATAATGTTCCTGAAGCAAAGAAACAACATAGTTGTGTTGCTTTTGCAAGCATTAAAATGATGCTGATTTTTTTTCAAATACAGTGGTGCCTTGCTTAACGGGCGCCCCATTTAACGATGAAATCACATCGCGATTAACTTTTTGCGATCGCATTGCGATGTTTTAAATGGGGAAAAATCGCGTTGCGATGATCAGTACCCTGTTTCGCTTACCGATGATCGCAAAGCGATAATTTTTTAACAGCTGATCGGCGGTTCCAAAATGGTCGCCGGGTAAAAAAAAATGGCTGCCTGCTGTTTTCTGGGACGGATTCCTCGCTTACCGGGCAGCGAAAATGGCCGCCGTATGGAGGATTTTCGCTTAAAGGTGAGTCTCAAGCCCATAGGAACACATTGAAGGGGTTTCAGTGCATTCCTATGGGCTTTTTAATATCGCATAGCGACGAAATCACTTTGCAGCGATTTTTGCTGCACTGATTATCATCGCTTTGCGAGGCAGCACTGTACAGATACATTTATTGTCACTGTAAGTCTATACAGTGGTGCCTCACAAGACGATTTTAATTCATTCCATGGAAATCGCTGTCTTGCGAAAACATCGTCTTGCGAAACCCAGTTGCCCATTGGAATGCACTGAAATCTATTTAATGCATTCCAATTGGGGGGAAAAATCACTGTCTTGTGAAAATTGTCCATAGAAGACATCGTCTTGCAAAACACAGTTCCCCATACCATATTGGGAAAAAACAATCCCCTCACCTGCACTGCCTTTGGAAATTCAATGGGTCTCAGATGGCCTTCGTCCTCTTTCTTTCTCCAGCAACAAAGAAAGAGGATGAAAGGAGTCAAAGCAGCTCCCTGGCTCTTGATAATGGTGACTCCTTTTTCCCTGATCCTTTAGGGAAATGCAATACAAGACATCACCAGGACTTGTTACCTTTGCAGTAGGTCCTGATGAGGAGGAAGAGAGATGAAAAGGAATCTAGAAAAACCAGGGAAATAACAAGTGCAATCTCCCGTTAACACAAATTATGCAGTTGAGTTCCCCACATTTGGGGAAATCACAGGGATCAGCAACATACCTGAACTACAATGGATGAGCCTCTTCCTGGGAAAACCACCTTTATTACATGGTATTTCCCCTGCAAAGTATGAGTTGGAATGGCCCTTGCACCTCATACCCCCTTCTGTCCCCTGACTCCCCAAGGCATGGTAATCCCCTGGCTGCACCTCCCACTCAGTACAGGGCTGCACAGCCCCAGTCCTGCCAGAAGCCAAGAGAGCTCCTCAGTGTTTTGGGCTGCCCTGTGGGACCCCCATCAGGGGCTAGGTGTTCCTCCCACAATCCTAGTGCACAGGTATTAGCATATGGTATTAGCATATGCCAATACCTATGCACTAGAGGATTGTGGGAGGAACACCTAGCTAATGCTAGGTGTTCCTCCCACAATTAGCATAAGGTATTAGCATATGCTAATACCTGTGCACTAGGATTGTGGGAGGAACACCTAGCCCCTGATCAAAAATCTTTCAGATGCTCCTGGTGAAGATGTTTAGGGAAGTTAGTCCTGCTATCTATGATGAAGATGAATTTTCTTTCAATTTTATAAGGTTTTGTATGTTTCTATTATTTAGCAGTTTATCAAATTAACTGATAATTTTTGAATATATGTTTTTGGCTTAATTTTTCCTTTAAATCTAGTGCAGAGTCCTTCTTTATAATGACAATTGGCAGAATGTTATAAAAATATTGTTCCAGCTTTGCACCTTTCTTTGGTAACAATTTGCATTAATTATGTCTACTGATATTTTTGCAGTTTGACAAATTGCAGTTTTTCTTGAACGGCATCCTCTGGTGGTAGTTCTGTAAACTATATTCACACATGTAGGCCATTGCTGACAATATGTTGATGTTGCAGTCATGTATGCGCTATCCCGCTGTTAATCAGTTTAACAGGTTTGATTAATTTTAGGATGATCCTTACATGGTTTGGACAAACTTAATATCTTCTCCTGGTTTGGAAATCATAAGATATTATTCCTGTGTTGTATAGCCATAATGCTTTAGGCATGTTTCTTTTTTGTCTTCAAATACATCACAAGTATAAAACTATGACTATGTATGGCTTGTAAATAAGATAAGCAAAGGCTGCAGACCTCTCTATTATTGCCTTGGTAGGCAGGTCATTTTCAATGCTGGCTTCTTTACAAGCTCAAACATCACAAATAGCACTCTTAGAAGTCGCTCTACTTTCCTTGGAATTGTTGGCTCTTCCGTATCTGTTCTGCAGCTCATGGGCTGACAGTAAAAACAATGAGATTTGACAGAATCTTAGCCCCTCAGGTTTTGCTTTCCTGCCAACTCTTTATTCTGGCAGGCAGCATCTTCTCTTTGTGAATCCCAGATCCCCTCTCCTTCTTCCTCTTATCCAGATGTCGGCCATATGAAGATTGCTGTGGCTCACGGTGCTGTGTGAGGACTCTGTCTATCCAGCGATTATGGTATTTTTGGTAAGTCAGTGCCCTGTGTTACATCCATACATTTCTTGTCTGTAATTACATTGTACAGTATTAAAACTGATATGAAAGTTTGGACTGGACCTCACATGTGCCCTGACTGCCGAATCCACCCCGCATGCCACACTGGTGATATGTACACTGAATTGTAGGCTGCAGATTCACACAGAACACTAGTTTTCCCTCATGGCTTCAAGGCAAGAGGACGTCTCCATCCAGAATGCTTGGGGATGGGATGGAAAAAAGACTCATTGGTTCCTTCAAGAATCCTGGGAATTTCTGTGAAGGTACTCTGTAAAAATCCACAGAATTTCCTATAGGAAAAAGGAATGACTGCTAGTTGCATCTGTACACTGTAGAGTTTTGTTCTATTCTCAGATGTATCTATTTGAAAGTGAACACCAAACAGATCAGCTCTATTTTGCAAGTGTCAGTAAACTGAGAGATGTCAACAGAAACAGAGGATAGATACCCTCACAGAGCTGTGATTTTTGCTGGAGGGTGCCGTCCCTCCATTTAACGTAGGTCACAATTGCCTCATACCATCATTGTCTTCACTTTTGCTGTGGCCAAATGGGTACAGTGAATAGTTCAATTTATTGTTTGAAAAATATCACAAAAGAGAGTGCTCTTGTGGGTATGATGCACAAATACAACTTTTAAGTCACCACTCACAAGAGTTGAATTTGAAATTTACAGAGTTGTGAAGTGCAGGCTTAAATTATTGAGTGACCATAGAAACTCTTTGTATTTGGAATGAAGGTGGAGCATACACATCTGCACTGCTTAATTGCAATCTATCAATTCATCAACTTTTCTATCTATGCAGAAAATCCCAACCTAGTAATTATGAAACTTGTTATTATCCCAATCCACAACATATGCTATTCAGTTACAATGAAATCATAGAATCATATAAAAGTGAAGTTGGAAGGGACACACAAGGCCATCAGGTCTATAGAGTAGTGTCCACATGTTTGAGGATTTGTATTTGTTGTTATTAGCCTGACCAAAAAAAACAGTGGGTGGTTCAATGGGATATTACAAGCGTGAGATATAGATTTACAGTCAAGTGAAGTGTGCAAAGGACATGAACCTTTTGCTTTTTGAACAGATTACCAAATAAAAATATTGAGCCCTGAGGCGTTCACCCTCAGTTATATGCATTATTCATGTTATATGCTAATGTGGTTGTGAGGCGGGGCCAAAGGGGCTGCTGAAGAGGCGGAGCCTGGGAGAGAGGAGTTCAGGCAGAGTCAGAGAGAGCTAGAGAGAGGAGGATAGTTTGGGGTTTGGAGGCAGAGAGTGTTTAAGGAGTGATTAGGCAGTGATTAGTCAGAGTGTGAACAGTGTTAATTAATATAGAAGAGATTCAAATAAAATGTTGAAGCTGTGTGGAACTTTAAAAAAGTGCTTAAAAATTATACCTGAAACCACGTGTAATCAATAAACCTGTTTCTGTTAAAAAGTCAGTACTGGATGGACCTTAGTCTTACATAAGAAAATTACGTTGATAAAGAGATCAACTGGTGCCAGTGTATCATAGGGCGTGTTGAGATATCTTTGTGAACTCTGTGTTTGGTGGAACAAGTAGGGGCCATGGGCTAAACGCCACAAGCCCTTTTCAAATCAATGCAGTAATTGTGGTTTATTAATCTGAATTCTGTTTACAGTTCTACATGTAAGAACATGTGGATTGTTTTGGTGTATATTTAATAAAAGTAGAAATCTACTGATAGCTGCAAGTCCTAATGTCTCTACTTGCCTCATGAGAGCAATGATTTTGACAAATCTTAAATTCAACCTGGGGAATACAAATTGTTGTTAGAGAAGAACAGGAAGGTTTGCTCTTGGTTGGTCATTTATTACTCAGAGTTATATTTTTTGAATGAACTCAAAAACAAGATGAGTGTCTGTATACTAACTACCCCAGCCTTGCAAATAAATAATAATAATTAGCCCACAAAAATGGCCCCCTCCATCTGTCTTAATCATTTTGTTATTTATAAAAGCTGTATGGGTGACCAAGTAATAGCTTTATTAAGTAAGTCACAGTTGGAGTATACCCATTTGAATCAATGGAACCTATAGAGGAGTTGACTTACCAAATCTCAATTGATTTAGTAGGCAAACTATTTTGTACTTTATTTTGCGAAGCAACAGGATTTTGGCCAGTGTGGGTTTTTTATCCATTTCCATATTGGAAAACTGAGGTGAACAATGGATCAGCACACAGTTGGCTAACATTTTCACATGAAATGAAGTATGCTTTTTTTTCTGTAAGCCTACTAATTTCTATGCCTAAAAAAGCAAGGCCATCTGGTACTGACCCATATGTATACAAGGATATCTAAGCTTCAGTTGACTATTTAAACTCATAATTATTTATGACACCAAGGCATGCAATTGCCTTTAAAAATAAATCATCATTGTGTGTCACATTATATAACACTGACTAAATTGTCTCATTGTCTCCTTTCCCCTTTGTTTAGGTTCCTGCTGATGATGGGAGTTCTGTTTTGTTGTGGGGCAGGTTTCTTTATCCGAAGACGGATGTATCCTCCTCCGTTGGTTGATGAAACCACTTACAATGTGTCATACACCCGGCCACCTAACCCCAGTACAGCAGGTCAGAGTTTACATCTGTCCTTTCAGTTCATGAACTGTTTAATAGTACAGCCATATTGGTGTCCTGCTGTTGTCATGGGCTTGAAAATATTCTTTTCCAATATATTTTTCAAATACTTTGCTAAAAGTGACGTGATACTGGTGCTGTCCACCTTGGCTCACCTGCAGTGTGCACAGTCTGACTTCTGAAATGAAATTTAGGTGGAGGGATAAGAGCTGAATCAATAGTATGAATTAGAAATGTACCCATTAAGAACAAGGAATAACCATGCTAGAGGCTGGAGGATAAAAATGTCATGGGGCATCCAGTAGGAAGCATGTGAAACTGCCCAATATTATATAAACAACTGGTCTATCTAGCTTAGTACTGTCTATACATCAGCTGACCAAAGATCTGAGCAAAGATCTGTCTTTCCCCTTGCAGTGTAAGATGCAGCTACATCATCCCTGACAGTGCAGCCCAAAGATAGGGACAGTTACATTTTTGGTCTTCAGACATCCAGAACTCCATGCTAATTGTCAGTGTTCCCTCTAATTTTCCAGAGTGCTGGGCGGGGGTCCTGCCGTGTGTGTGTGTGTGTGTGTGGGGGGTTCTGGCCACAAATAGAAAGTAACACTGGCTCAGCTGTGTGGCTCTGATGCAGTGATGCACGGGTGCACAACTTAGAGGGAACATTGATAATTGCAATTCAAGAAAGTGATCCCCCCCCCAATGCTCTAGAAGATCATATTACAAATATCCACTGGCTACTGGACAGTATTAAGAACTTCAGAAGATCGGTCTATGCTTTATAGACTACAGCAAAACCTTTGACTGTGTAGACCATGAGAAACTATGGATTTGTTTTATTTTATTTATTTAAAATATTTTTACCCTGCCTTTCTCCGTAGAAAGGTGGTTTGTTCTGAAAGAAGTGGGTGTGCTGTAGCACTTCATTGCCCTATTAGGATATAATATCAAGAGCAGCAAAGGTGTTTATCACTTTATATGTTCAATCTGTATGCAGAACATATCATACAAAAAGCTGAATTAAACTCAGATGAAGGGGGAATGAAAATGGATGGGGAAAAATCAGTTATTTAAAATATGCAGATAATACCAAGTTACTGGTAGAAATTATCAATGACTTGAAATGACTGTTAGAGGAAGGGAACGTACCAAAGCAGGACTCCATCTGAATGTTAAAAAGACAGAAGTCATGACTAAAGAAGAACTTCAGAATTTTAGCGTTGACAATGAAGAAATTGAAAATGTAAGAGATTTTGTATGCCTTGATTCAATCTAAATGGAGAGTGCAGCCAAGAAATTAGAAGAAGACTGGGACTAGGAAGCAAAGCAATAAAGGAATTAGAAAAGATAATCAGATGTAAGGATGTGTCATTGGAGACCAAGATCACCCACACTCTTATATCACCATGCATGGACATGAAAGATAGTAAAGCAAGCTGACAGGAAAAGAATTGATTGATTGGAAATATGGTGCTGGAGAGAGCTTTGTGGGCTTCCAGAAAGACTAACAAATAGGTTTTAGATCCAGCCAAGCCTGAACTCTCTCTGGAGGCAAAAATTATGAAACTGAGGCTGTGCACTGTCATGACCAAATCTCCCAAAGGAGATGACGTTCAGATAGAGAGTTCCGCAGGCCACAAATCTACCGCTTTATGCTGAGGCAAGTCCCAAATCTTCAGCAGTGCATAGCATCTGTCACTTGAACAAGTCTGATCATTAAAGAATATTTTACTTTGCAAGTACTGCAACATGGGCTTTGTGATTCCGTAGAACTCACAACAGCTGATTTAAATAGGACTTCTCTATGGTAGCTAATCAATGGCCTTTACCACCCTTCTGGATATAGCCAAATCCTGCTTATCTAAGAGACTAGTCCTCAGTTGGAATTTTTATAATTATGTTTTATTAAGAAAATATAGTTTCGTGGAAACAGTTTGTTTGCTTAAGCATTAGCATAAAGATATGTTCAAAGGATTACCATAGTTAAATACAACTACTACCCATTAAAATAATAAACACTAAAAGCTGAGCTGAGGTGGGCTAGCCCCACCTCCTTCTTTTCTTCCCTGCTACATTTTTTTTCCTTTCAGCTACATAACACAAACCATCAGGAACTTCTCTCAGGAAAAAGTTTTCTTCCACAAAATGATCTCTCTCTCCTACATAACCCATCTTCCATTTTTCTACATTCATTGGACCTCTTTCTTCATGACTGTAAACCGGGCAAGGGTCAAGAGAGGAAGTGGTGGCCCGGCAGCGATCAAGCGCTTTGTCCACCATATCTGGTGTCACAGGCTGAAAGAATTCAAGTCTCACTGGGCAAGGCAGAGCACTGGACATCTCTGCTTGATTCACTGTATTTAAAAAAGGAGAGAGGTCCCGGTGGATGGCCTCCACTTTAGAATTTTTAAATGCTGCAAATTGGTCAGGGGAGATATTAGTGGGGCCCATCACCTAGACCAATTCCGGATAGATCGTGAACTATACGGAAGAGTTCCGCCTGCTGATTTGAAGCTTCTCTTACCCGGTTAGCGAAGTGTGATCGTCTAGCAGCCCTCATCTTAGCAAGGTAGTGGTTAGTCGCAATCCTGACAGCTTTCTTATTATATTCCGTCGGTTCCTGTCTCCAGTTCTACTTTAGCCGTCTCCTATTTCACTTCATAGCTCACAGCTCCTGGTTAAACCAGGGCCCTGTCTGAGCTCTGCACTGTAGAGGGCATTTAGGACCAATTGTGTCTACAGTCCTAGTGGTGGCAGCAAGCCAGCCATCAACTAGAGCCTCGACAGGAGCACCAGACAGATTAGCTGGAATCCCTCTCATGGTACCCTGGAATCGTGGTGAATCCAGTAACCTTCGAGGGTGGACCATTAAAATAGATCCGTGCTCCCTGCGGGGAGGGAGAGCCACTGAGAGGTTACATTTTATTAGGTGGTGATCTGACCATGACAAGGAAACTGACACAAGGTCAGTCACCATCAGACCACACTCGCTCCGCTCAGTGGAGAACACCAGGTCCAGCATATGACCGCCCACATGTGTGGGGCCGTTGACATGTTGGGACGTGTCCAAAGAAGCCATGGTTTCCAAGAATTCATGAGCTGGACTGGAAATTTTTGCCTCTGCATGGATGTTGATGTCACCCAGGACCAAAAGCCTTGGGGACTCCAACTGTGCTGCTGAGACAAAGTCCGCCAGCTCCGGTAGGGAGGTGGCTGGGTGGCAGAGAGCGTGGTAACCCAGCAAGATCCTAATACCGTCCCTGGTCCCAATCAACACATGGAGGGCCTCCAGACCTGGCTTCACCACCATAGAGTGCCTAGTGACCTCCAGAGTATTTCTAAAAACAATGGCTACTCCCCCCTGCCCCTCCAGTCTACCCTGGTGCTGGACTGCATAATCAGGAGGACAGGCAAGAGTCAAGGGAACTCCCCCTTCCCCGCTGATCCAAGTTTTGGTTATGCATGCCATTCTGCATCCTCCTCCAGAATAAGATATGGAATAATGGATTTATTGGACAGAGACCTGGCATTCAACAGCACCAGTTTTAGAGTAGAGGGCCAGCTGATCTGACTACCTTGAGACTGGCAGGTGGTCACAGTGCCAGAACAGTGAACAGCCTTCAAACTGTCCCATTGCCATATCTCCCTCTACCCGTAATCACTCAGATATTAGAACCCCTGCTGGGGGGTGCAAGCCTTCCACTCCATGTCCAAAGAAAAGAAAGAACAAAGGATACACTAAATACAGTTAGACAATAATAACAGGATTAACAAAATTGATCCAACATTAAATAATAATACAAACTTAAACAATTATCCATTATCAAATCAAGGAAATTATCAAATTGGGCAATTTATCAAATTATCAATTTAAATAAGATTTAAATTAAGCAATTTAAATAAGATTTAAATTAGGCAGTTTAAATGAAATTTAAATAAAAAATGTATATTTGTTTCAAAAATAGGTGAGATAAAAACAACAGAGTAGAACAAACTAAAATAGACTAGGTAAGATATAACAAAAAATTAATAAAAATCAACAGAAAATAAACCCAAGATTCTCCCCCCACACAGTTGGTCCTGTCCCGCAATACTCTGGCTGCAGGTCTTATTTTCCTCAAGGAGGCTGCCGGAGATGAGTTCAAGTTTTTGGGGGCAGACACCACAGGACAAGCAGTCAAGTGCAAAGCATGGTTTAACACTGGAAGGAGGGGGAGGAGAAGGAGAACCTCTGGAAGCATGGCACCTACACTGCCTCTCTCCGCGACAAGGGGACAGATGAAAAATTCTTCATTAAACATGCCAGGGGATGCAGCAGGAAAAGGGACTCCCCTGGCCACTGATGTCAGCGTGGTTTCCCAGTTCCAGATGGACCCCTCAGAAGAAGCTCCCAAAAGAGTCCCACAGTGAGCCAGCACCAAACTTCTCTGAGCCCTCAACCAGCCTCACGGCCCTCCTCAGTCCCCCAACATCGGGCTTACCACACTTCCTCCAAATGGCATCTGTGATGTTTCTGGGCGTTCCTCCAGGAAACCTTTCGAACCAGTGAGTTCTTCTGAACCTCTCCATGCTGGGCCACATCTCCCGAAGCCCCAGCGCCGGGCCCACCAAGACCCACAGGTCTCCACAGATTCAGGCTCCTCCAAACACCCACAACACAAAAACAGGCTCCTGCAACGCCGAGCTCCACCTCACAGACAAGCCAAGCCAGCTGTCTCTCCCCCCATCCTCCAACTCGCCTCAACAGCCTCCAGATAGCCCCGAAGCGGCACAGGAACTGATAGGAAGAGCTCACCACGTGAAAAGAAGTGGTGAGAAAAGAAAAATAAAAAACCAAAGCAAAAGAAACAAAAGGAGGAAAGAAAAACTGAACCAGAGTGGTGGGAGAAAACGCTCCCAGCCAGCTACCGGTCTGCCATCATATAGTCTAAAAATTGCCATCAGGACACACAGTTGATATTATTTTAATTAAAAGCCTTCTGGAACAGGAA